AGGGTCTATGTATTTGTACTGTCATGCACCAAGTCAATTTTGCTCTTGCCCATAGACTGTTGAGGGTCTATGTATTTGTATTGACATAAAGTCTGCTTATTTTCTTGGTCATTTTATTTTACCAAGTAATTGATTATTGTCATAAATTACACTATTTGAAGACATAAACATGAGTTATGCAATTATCAATTTTAATAATATCAATCCCCCTTTTTCCCCCCTATCGTCTGACCTACTGGTGGCGCAGCCAATGCTCTAAGCATAGGCTCGTGGCGGATATTTGGCTCACCAGTAGTGCCTAACCTAGATTTTTAATATATGACTTGGTGCACAATTTATTGAATTTTGCAATTATTGTCCAAGCAGGCGAGCATCTGTTCCCAGGGCTCACCATTCATGCTTGTTTCTTTGTGGGGATGCCAAAAAGGCAAGAATTGATGCCGGGCTCCCTTATTTGTTTAATGCAGCCGTGGCCTATATCGCCAAATAAATATAAATAATTAAATAGAAGTATTTTGTTATCTTTAGTATAAAGGCCCAAGGTTAGGGCATATTTTGATAATGTGATTTAACCACTCAAGGTTAAATCCGTTTATCAAAGTGCCATCAAGCTATTAATATTTCGGTTTTTGGGGGTATCCTTCCAGTCCTGGCCTTGTATTAGTGCCATCCTGTTCTCGGGGTTTTTGGGGTATTAGCCAAACCCAAGCACTAAAACCTGTGACATCCAGCGCAAAAATCAAGTTTCTGCAAAATTTCAACCCCCCAACCACACCCCTAATAAAATAATATGTTAACGGAAACTATCTGCTGCTTTCTCGTGTTTTGTTCTGTTTTCTTTTTCAGATAATATAAAGCCTTAATCCATGTCCACAGCAAGGTCTCGTCCAAATTGTCACGGCTGAAATCACATACCTGGAGGAAGATATTGCCCAGGCGGATATTTGGCTCACCAGTAGTGCCTAACCTAGATTTTTAATATATGACTTGGTGCACAATTTATTGAATTTTGCAATTATTGTCCAAGCAGGCGAGCATCTGTTCCCAGGGCTCACCATTCATGCTTGTTTATTTGTGGGGATGCCAAAAAGGCAAGAATTGATGCCGGGCTCCCTTTTTGTTTAATGCAGCCGTGGCCTATATCGCCAAATAAATATAAATAATTAAATAGAAGTATTTTGTTATCTTTAGTATAAAGGCCCAAGGTTAGGGCATCTTTTGATAAACAGAAATAGCTACTTGGATGGGTACAAGACGGGGCGTATCTTGACAACCTATCAGAACAGAGTCAAATGAACAGGATATCATGCTAAATTCTGATATTGCTTTTGCTTTTTTTTTTTGGAGCAAATTAGCATGCTGAAAACAGAGTAGGTTGCCAGTGGTTTTTCTTGAAAAAAAAACTTGTTAATCTTAAGAACATTTAACTAGACGAACAATGAATGCTTTCAGTCAAAATGGAATGGCAACAGTACGTTTTCGATTATCCATTCATTGACATTAATAGTTATACATATTATGTCATTATTACTTGACGAAGCCAGATGAGTGATCCATGCAGTGGTGTGTTTTTATTAGCTCTACTGGTCAGAGACCAGAAGAGCTTATGCGATAGTAATGCATCCGGCGTCCGACCGTCTGTCTGTCTGTCTGTCTGTAGACAATTCTTTAAAAATGCTACTCCTCCTACAGTTTTGGCCTGATTTCAATATATCTTAGCACACAAGTAGACTACACTAAGGTACATAATTCTGTATATCGGTTTTTAATTTCGATTTGCTTTAAAAAATAGAAATTTCTGTGAAATTCTTTCAAAATGCTATGTCTCTTACAGTTTTGGTCTGATTTCAATATAACTTGGCACACAAGTAGACTACACTAAGGTACATAATTCTGTATATTGGTTTTTGATTTCGATGAACGGTGTTGCCGTGGTTACTAAAAATAGAAATTTCTGTGAAAAACATTCAAACTGCTATTCCTCCTACAGTTTAGGTCTGATTTCAATATTACTTGGCACACAAGTAGACAACATTAATTCTGTTTACATAAATCTTTGCCGTGGTTACTAAAAATAGAAATTTCTGTGTTCTTTCAAAATGTTACTCCTCCTACAGTTTTGGTCTGATTTCAATATAACTTGATACACAAGTAGACTACACTTAGATACATAATTCGTTGCCATGGCCAATCCTTAAATCCTAAAAACTCATTTTTCTTCCAATGAAATTTCTGTGAAAAAGATTACTAGCTACATACCAATAAAAATTTGAAAAATGTCCTAACAATGATGCTCTCCTTCCAAGCACATGTATCAAAACTGGGGTTTCAGGGGGTTCCTGTTCTGTTTATCGGTTTTTGATTTCGATGAACGGTGTTGCCGTGGTTACTAAAAATAGAAATTTCTGTGAAATTCTTTCAAAATGCTATGTCTCTTACAGTTTTGGTCTGATTTCAATATAACTTGGCACATATACATAAACATAATTCTGTATATTGGTTTTTTGATTTCAATGAACGGTGTTGCCTTGGTTACTAAAAATAGAAATTTCTGTGAAATTCTTTCAAAATGCTATGTCTCTTACAGTTTTGGTCTGATTTCAATATAACTTGGCACACAAGTAGACTACACTAAGACACATAATTCTGTTTATCGGTTTTTGATTTCGATGAACGGTGTTGCCGTGGTTACTAAAAATAGAAATTTCTGTGAAATTCTTTCAAAATGCTACTCCTCCTACAGTTTAGGTCTAATTTCAATATAACTTGGCACACAAGTAGACTACACTTAGATACATAATTCGACGATATCGGCCCTACATCGGCCAATCCTTAAATCCTTAACTACAACTCATTTTTCTTCCAATGACCCCTACCGATTCGCCCGATGACCTTAGTCACCATCCGATTACCTTAGTCACCATCCGATTACTAGCTACATACCAATAAAAATTTGAAAAATGTCCTGAACAATGATGCTCTCGAAGGCTTCCAAGCACATGTATCAAAACTGGGGTTTCAGGGGGTTCCTGTTCTGTTTATTGGATTTTGATTTCGATGAACGGTGTTGCCTTGGTTACTAAAAATAGAAATTTCTGTGAAATTCTTTCAAAATGCTATGTCTCTTACAGTTTTGGTCTGATTTCAATATAACTTGGCACACAAGTAGACTACACTAAGGTACATAATTCTGTATATTGGTTTTTGATTTCAATGAACGGTGTTGCCTTGGTTACTAAAAATAGAAATTTCTGTGAAATTCTTTCAAAATGCTATGTCTCTTACAGTTTTGGTCTGATTTCAATATAACTTGGCACACAAGTAGACTACACAAGATACATAATTCTGTGTATTGGTTTTTGATTTCAACGAACGGTGTTGCCTTGGTTACTAAAAATAGAAATTTCTGTTAAATACATTCAAAATGCTACTCCAATTACAGTTTTAGTCTGATTATAATATAATGTGGCTTGCAAGTAGGCTACACTAAGAACATAAAGAGACTTAATCAAGGATCATTATTCTATTCATTGCTGTTGTAAAGTTTCAATTCCCAACTGCTTAAGTACTTTTCTCTTCCTTTGCTATAAGTATAAACCAGTAGAGCTTCAGTCTCGACAGAGACTTCTGGTTTCAAATGATCTATTTCTATACATGTAATAGGATTTTTTTTACTTTACACTTCTGATGTAAGGACTGGTTTGTCTAGAAAAGACGAAATATATAACGAACTTATAGACAAATTCTTCATACCGAAGAAACTGGACTTTCCAAGATCCATGTTAAATACTGAAGGATTATATATAGTTCAAGAATGAATCAAAGGTTATTTTTTTTAGTCAAACCAGTTTAATAGTAATATTTATAATATATTTGAATCTAAAAACATTTTTTACACCCCATCAATTAAATTTTACAGGTTTAATAATATGTTTGATATTTGTGGTTTGTTTCAGAGTTTTTATAAATGAATATGTTCATAAATTTTCTTTTCAAGTTTTTAAGGTCACTTTCAGTGCTTCGTTTTATCTGGATTAATTTAATGACAACATACAATGAATCATGATTTTAATATTTTACGTACCCGGAAAACGTCAGAACCGGTGTCAGTACGAAAACTGGAAATACGCCACCTCCAACTTGAGGCGGATGCCGGAATTCTTGGTTTGATTTTATATACTAACAAACTGAATGCTGTATTTACATCTTAAGATACAATACTTTTAGCACTCACCATCGTTTTATATCTACAGTCCCGATAGAAACATTTCATTAGTCAGCCGAGTTTTGTTTTCAACTCATGCATTTTCAAATCTTGCAAGATTGTTTCGAAATGTGGAGAGACATTTTCTTTTCATCGATATTAGTGAGTACTGAAGGCATTGTGCTATTGATAAATTGTGAGTTCGGATTGATTTGGGTTTGCAAGTATCGAAAATAAGTTCAGGTTTGAGCTCTATGACGAAATTTCCAGTTGCACAATGACACCGGTTCTGATGTTTTCCTGGCAAGTAAAATATTTAAATCTTGAATATGGAACACGTCAGATAATTCGGACTAGCAGGCGACTAACATTTTTTTGTTAAATAGGAACATTTAACCGAGTCAAATAAAATTTTTTATCAGCACCTATTCAACACTAAGTTGGAAGAACAAACATAAAATGGAACTCAAATTACCTTATATTTGTGAAAAACACAAGAATTAGAATCAATTTGTATACCGATCCAACTAGCAAAACAAACGGCAATGTTCGCTAACCGTAGTCATTAAAGGAATGGGACTTTGAGAATATGGTTTTATGTACAAGGTTGAGTATATCGTTCTGCAAGAAACATCTGGTCAGTATGTAGTATATAAATCTGAGGACATCAATATGGGTTTTTTTCTGCAGTGGATTGCAGTTTAGAATTCACAGCACTGTTTAAGCGTTCACTCATAACTTATCAGAAATTTATTGAACAGAATCCAATTGTCTTGAAATAAAAACAAATCAAAACTATTTGTGTTACATTTTATTTTATTTCGCAGAATCACTTCCAAACCATATAATGTCAATGACTATGAGTGCAATATTTTAATATCAGGGTCCGCTGATGTTAAAAAAGAAGGCAACGACATTAGAACAGATACAGTACAAGCAGTTCTTATACAACTTATAATTTTTCATACAATCTCATATTATTAATTTGAGAATTATTTTTTTCTGAACAAAAACCCTGAATTTTGAATACAAATTGTTGTTGCAGGTTAATATAAGTAAATGCATGTTCTGCGTAAAAAAGTGAATATAAGTATATAAAAAAAAAAGACTTTTTTTTTTTAAAACCCGGTATTTCAGTTCCAAATAATTTGAGTAATTTTACAATTTGAAATATTGGAATGTTTGAAATGTTTACCATATTGTTTATTATTCTTTATGTTCATGTGAGGAGAGGAAAGGTAAATAACCGTAAAAAAAGACAAGAGTTTATAATTTCAAGAAAATTAGCGATGTCCCAATCCTTATAATTACTATACATAAATGAACACCAACTAATTCACATATTTTTCTTAGTGTATAAAAAATGCAGCAAGAAAAAGGGTTGGAATTGTCGCACCATTAAATAACACAACGCAAACAAGTTTTAAATATGAGACGTATTAAGAGAAAATAACATAAATGTTAGACAAAAAGGTTATTCACAAAAGTTTCACACTGATCAATATTTAGAGTGATCCCAGGAAATTCTCGAATGAGGATTTACGATTAAGTACTTCGTCTTTATTGGATAGTAAACAAGTTTTTTTTTTTACTTTTTCTCCTATATCATTTTTTTTCACTGTATTGCGTAGGTCCTTTTAAAATTAGAATTCTTTTAAACATTTTGCACATTTGCTTTGATTAAAGTGGAAATTCAATAATGTAAATTAAATAAAAAAACCCTAATTTTACAATTTCATTATTTAATATATACAAATAAAATAACGGGAGAAAATCATAACATCTCTATATATAACTGTTGAGCATGTGGGAATGATATTACAAACATATGTCGACACAATAACAAAACAAAGACGTTATACGTATTAGGAACTATATATTTACACTTTACAAAAATATATCAAGTTTATTTAGTCTTCACCAACAGATGAAAGCCTCAAACTTTCCAGTCTAAAAAAATTTAAATATACATAAATTAAGGATTAGTTAAATTGTGACTTTCAATACAAAAAAGGTTGGGAAAAAATGTAGAGAAATAGAACTTGCTTTAATAAACTTTAAAAATGTTGGATTTTTTTCCCTTCTAATTATTATTAGAAAAGTTATGAATATTATAACAAAACCAAGTTTAATGTAAGTGAGAGGAGTTATAGTTCTTTGGTTAATGTAACAGGCCATAGGACCTTGACAGACATCCGAGTATCAAACCTGATAAAATATCTGATACATATCTACTCCCCATGACTGAATCGTAATTATAAATCTATGAATTTCAGACTTTTTCCCTACCAGTCATTATTACCTAACCATCACCATGTCCAAATGGTTCTTATCATATTGTATTATACGAGAGCCTTTATTAACTTTTCATATGTGATTTGAACTGATTTGAAATTAAACAGTTTGCAATAATTTGGTAGAAGAACGTTTTGTTTTGGTCTGAATTTAAGGTTTTTACCAAAGGGGAGAAAGGGGCCATCTGTAAATACTATAAATTTTTACAAATCTCGTTAAAACGGATTAAGCTCATTGTTCCTAGACATATAATGTTAGAAATGTTCCCATATTTAAGGACGATGGACATAAACAGATAGCAATATACACATGGGCTAGGCAGGTAATGAGATGAGGTAATATTAGAACATTGTCAGTTCTACACTTGTAGGTAAGTACCCTTTTTCAAAAATTACCATAGCGTTTCAACCTCCAAAAAATTCTGGTTAACGAGGAAAGAAAAAGGGTAAATTTTCTGGGCGTAAAATGTCTAATTTTGCATTAATATTAATGTGATTATACGACAGTAAACTCAAAAGGATTAACCAATTAGTATTTAAAAGAAAAGTCGAGGCACTGTAGAAATTCATGACTGAAAACTTCTATATGGATATAAAAGGAATTTAAGCGGGAGGAATGTGTCCGAGGCGGGTCCAGGAAGTGAGCCCTGCGAACGGAAGACACGGTATTAATTATTAAATAATTAATCACTCTGTCAGGTCATCACTGGGACCACGCCAAATTTCTTTTCTACCGCACATCAAACAAGATCCTACATCACAATATAACGTTGTGTATATCACAGATTTTGCCAGTCTAGTAAGACAGAAAGAAGTAACGGTTATAGTCATATGAAACATCTGTCACTTAGCAACCAAATCACAGGAGTCGCTTTCCTGTTCAAACATTCATCACTTAAATGCTATACGCCAATACAAAAAAAATCACATATGACACTTTCATCATTAGCGATTATAGTGTACGTATTAGCATTAATCGTTGATATATGTTATAGAGAAATCAATGAAGTCGAGTAGATTCTAGTATTCAAACAACAGTATTGGAATGACTTTACTGGCACCAATTTTGATTCCGTAAAAACCATTTTATTGGGGGTTCTTAGGGAAAATCCAGGTCAATATTAGATTTGACTCATGCTCCCTTGAGACGGTGGGTATTGTGTAAGAGTGTTTGTTGATGGAGCAGATTGTTTTCGGCGACGAGGTGGCGAAGTTTTTCGAAGTTGATTAAATTCCGACCTTGTAGATTCTGCACTATCGGGAAGGTCCGAATTAAAATCTCCAGTCCTTTTTTCCCGCTCTCGTTGTTCAACAAGATCACGTGGCTCAAACAGTCTATCACGTGCCTCCAAATGCTTTTCACGTTCTACTTCCCGCGAAGTTCGATCCCTGTCCAAATCACGAACAGGAGGTAGTGTGTATTGGGGTTCGTTTCTACGTGAAGATACTTTATCCGCTATGAGTACTGGAAGTCTTTCAAGATGCTCCTTGAAGAAAAAGAATGGTTTCAATTTTAATTTAAGCATATAAATTAAATGGATGGCAACAAATCTAAAAAATAAATTTATATTTAATCATAGGTATATAAATAATATTAATATCTGTGATTCGTATATATAGTAAAAGACTCAGAAGGGCAGCTGGGCTTCATCAGTAGTTTCTCGGGATACGACAAATATAGCACCATCTACAAAAAGAAGACGTAAAATGCATATGTAACCTTACAATATGAAAAACGTGATAACTTCAATTTTTCTATCGACTCCTCTTATTTATGCCTTCCAGCTATTGATTCAAAATGCAAGAGTATACTCTACGTATGAACAATTTTTAAGACGATGAAAAGGTACTGACAAACAAGTTGATGAATCAGAGATATCGACAATTTCGCTTGAGTTTCGAGAATTTAAGGTCGATACAATGACCTTGCCATCAAATACAATCTACATGTTTCATGAAGTAAATGCCGAGTTACATTTAACATTCAAATTGTTAGGCCATTATGTTGACGGAGTTTTCCATTTTTCCCGATCAAGACAAGGAACACATGGCGGGTGTGGTCGGTTGGTGGGGACAGCTCACTTCTTGGCAATTGAACCCATCTCTGATGTTTTTGAATGTTACGTGTTTGCTCTGCACCAGATTTATAATTTTTAAATGACCTTTCATGTTTGAATACTGTTCGTTAACCCGTTTCATATAATATTCTTTTTGAACTGAAGGAGAAGAGAAACATTGTACAATGTACATTTCTGTCGGAAACAACGAACGAGAACAGATGTATACATACTGCCATTCGACACCTGATACACTCATAAGGGCATAAAAGCCAATAGAACTTGTTGTCAGAAAACGTATTCCTGCGGTATCTGTATTCCTTGATATGAAAATTTAGCTTGAGTTATTCACCAGCTTATTCTGGAACTCAGATTCTAAGGAATGCGTTTCATCACTTCGATGTGGGATCTTCTAGACGTCTTCAAAGCTAGTTAATGTTTACTTACTTGTAAAGATACAAGGGTGTTTTCTATTTTGTTCACTCGATCCTCCAGAGTAGAAGTCTTTGTAAATACGTCTGAAACGGTGTCATGAATTTGTCCCTGCGTCTGAAAAACAAGATTCCCCAATTGTTGTATGAAGTGAATTCTCTAAAATGCAGTCTTTGGTATAGCCTTTTTTTTTTACAGTAGAATACCACGTGCTGTTTGAAGAGATTCTTTTCATCTTGCTTATTTATTGAGCAATGAAAAGCTTAGGGATAACTCAATTAAAAGTAAATTAAATTAAAAAAAATTAAATTCAAATAAAATTTCAACTAAAATGTTTCTAGATCTATCATTTGTTGATCAATTGATTTGAAAAAATATGAAATATGTAAAATTAACATTTGTTGATGAAATTTGAATTTGTCGATTCCCACTGAAAACATTTATTCAAATAAATAAATTAGTCGTGTTAGTCACGCTGAAATATTCAGCATAATTAATTATTCACGTCACGCTGTAAGCTTGATTCAATTTTCAAATCCTTCAAGAAAAAGCATCAACAAAATCTAAAAAACAACAACTATACAACATTTCTGTCAAATTTCATAGACGAATCTGTAAGCATAACCATTCGACAACTCTCAAACATGCAAAACTGCAATACAATTTGATGCCTTTTAGAGAGGTAAATAGCTTATATAGCAAAATCCATTTATGGCGAATGAACATGTATGAGAAACTACTCTGTTTCCTTGGAAACAAATACGTTTCTTTAATTTTACAACAGAGTCATTTGTTTATTAAGGTAACAACATAAAAGAGCATTGGGGAATATTGCAGAAAGAAATGAGAATTTTAAAAAAAAGTAAAATGAAAAGAATACCTTAGAGCATCATTTTTCGCAAAAGAAATATATTCATCGAGCAGCTAGACTAACTTTTCAAAAGTATAAGAAATTGTCAATTTACTAGTTCAAGTAAGAATTTCAAAAAATCCTTTTAAGAATTTTCAAAAATCGTTTTGATTATTATCACATATCTCCCAATATGGGGTGGATCTTACTTTTTCGGGTAAATTTTGAATTCAAACAATATATTAGAACAAAATAAAGCGACCGACACCTGAAATCCACATAACTCCTCACCTGTATAGTCTGTATAAACAAAGTAGCAGAGTCAATAGAGGACAAACAGTACTGTATATATAGTGTCAAATACATAAACATTAAAGATTTCGGACTTCCACAAGAAAACCACACATATACTTCAAGAATTAATTATATCCCCATCTTTGATTACCATTTGTATCCTAGACCTCTTTAAATAAGCACATGTAGGTAAAGGTAGAAAAAAATAAAATGGCAGGTCAAACTCATATCAGTATTCTGATATACAGTAAAACACGCTATATAGAAGATGCATGTATCCTTATGATGAATTTACACAGCAGCTAAGTGATTTATATTCCAAGGGGACTAAAACATGTAAACGTAACGAATGTTACAAATTACGTTTTACCAAAGCAAAATCCATCTTCTCTGGCACTTCGCTAAAAGTGTGTTTTACTGTTAACCAATTTTTAAAGTTTCGTGTCTCTTGGAACAGGGAATTGTATAAGTTCGAGATTATAATTTTGCACTTTCAAATTTACCTTACTATTTTTTTGGTTGTGAGAACAAAAGAAACGTTGGTAATATTTCAGTATCTTGAATTTTTTGTTTTAATTAAAAAATAACGCAGTATAACAGACAAACGATTTACCTCAATATCTGCAAAACTTAATTCACTCAAAATTATTTACTGAATTTTCAAAATTGGTACTTTGGTTTGAAATTTGAGCTTCACAAGTTCACAAATGCTTCTCAATTTTAACGTTCTGCCATCGTGATGGTAGTTAACGAGTACAATTGTGTTTACTCTTTATGATTATGATAACAATAACGCAACGAAAGTCAACACTAAGCTGCAAGGCTGACGAGGTCGAGGGTAATAAGAATCATATTGGAAGAGAATAATTGTTCTGTATTATGCTATGACAAGTGAGTATAATAAACACGGTTGATGTCTGGCTATGCCAAAAATATACTCTCTTCAAATTAATCTGCCAATTTCGAGGAATTAAAAAAAACATTATAAATGTAAAATTGCTCTACCATGTAAATATGCGAAAACACCAAATTGCACTGTAAATAATTTTATAGACAATTTGATTACCCAGAACTTCATTCTATATGATGTACATGAATTTACAATTTCAGATGGTAAATTTGAGTTTTTTTCCCTTAGGCGATAATATTCTTCCTTACAGCATAAGCTAGGAGGCTGACACATATCATAATAGCATTCGTACAACATGCGCTTCTAGTTATCACAATATGCACCTCCTAAAGCTGAAGCCTTTACTACTGTGCAGGCAACACAGTACAGCAAAAAAGCCATGCTGAAAAAAATCCTACAATATACAATATGTGACATATGAGCGTGTGGAGCTCTAGAGTACTTGAATAAATCCTACACCCTCATGCTAATTTGTTATTATTGCAGTTAAACACAACTATAGACAATATACATTACTGAAAAGATAGACCAGACAAAGTAATACCACCTAATATTGATAAAACGTGCAACTCTATATACTGTAAATCACTTTTTATTCGCGAGAACTTTATTTTCGCGTAATTACGCGAGACAGTGTGCTCGCGAAAATTTAATTCTCGCGTATAATATCATTCCTTAAGAATATATAAAGCAATAACCACAACTCACGAAAATTTTGTCTCGCTAATCAAGAATCAATGACTATCTCGCGAAAATTAGGTGTCGCGAAAATTTAGTGATCTACAGTATATAAGTAGCGCAAGCAATTGTTCCAGCTGAAACCATTTTGAAGAGATTCATTTATACCATCACGTAACTACATGTAATTTAGACGCCACATTGAACAATTATCGACAGACATCGTGCCCCGCATTCATGCGTGATATAAGGGACAAATCTAACTACAACTACAGAGCATGATGCATTTTGGCTGCTACACATGTATAAATACGGTGTGCAGTTTTTATGCGGTCAAACCTGTTTGAATTGCACGTGGGGTATTGAAATATACACACTGTGAGGCGGTTCCAGGCCTGTACGACCTAAACTCTACAAAGAAAGGAAAGGGATAATCGAACCTGCTTGACTCAGACTAAAAAAAATCTACAAAATGTGAGCAGCATTAAAATAGTCATAAAGAGCAGATCTGATCAAAATGATTTGTTAATTAAACATAACAATTGCCGGCGTCTGTTACATGTAATCTTTTTGTATCCATTTTAGCCTGCTGCTTGTGGCGACAAATGTGAGCAAATTTAAGCATTATTTTATGTTTCAAGCAGGGCACTGGATTTGTCCCTTTCCTTGTCCGTCTTTTTTATGACTTAACCAAAGCTAAAATGAATACAAAAAGAAGGATCTTGCGGAGGGGACATGTGCAACAGGATGACAACAATAAAATATAGGAAAGAGGGGGAAAGGGTGTTTCATATTCCATCAGCAGCAAAAGACAAAATCAAAGTACCATTGCAGCAGGCAATTCTAACACTTTCACCACGAAACTACTTCTAGTAACTTAATTACAAAGAAATGGTTGAGAAGTAATAGGGTGCTAGGGAAAAGCAGGTGTTGATATTTGACAGTAACGTTTAATTACGTTTTCGCGGACGTAAGCAAGAAGTGTTATTCTCCAAAGACCATTAACTTATACGTGTACGATACTCAAGTCTATACGAACGAGTAAATATGATAAATGTTTAAAAATAAAATAAACTTAGATGTTTACCAAATATAAAATCTTAGAAATCTAAACTTAAGGGAAAATATTGTTTAAAATTTTATAACCTTCATGCACAATTGTCCGTGTAATTGACAAATTTTATAAAATCAAATATTTCAGATTAAACTTGTTATATAAAGGAGGCCTTTGAGTATTATCAAACACTGGGGGCATTTTACTTAAATGCAAAAGTAAATCTGCAACAAACTGGTTATAGGATAATGTTGAAGTAGCAACAATTATTGTCTGAATTTTTTTTTATTCATAAAATGTTTCCTCCAAGCCACGCATATAAATATTAATCCTAGTTGTCCTGTATAATTTATGAAATTTAGAAACATGTGTCTTGAACTTCAGTACCATTTTAGCCCTTGTATTACATGTGTATCCAAAGCACAGGCATTTAGATCGCTTTAATCCGACTTACGAAACATTTTGGGTGTTTGTTTTTTTTTCAACCAAACTTTTGTAAGTCAGAATTAAGTGATCCAAAGGCCTGTGATCCAAAGTGAACGGTATCATTTTCTTTAAAATTTGATTTCATAAATTCGCTTACAAGCTTTGGACTTACTCATCAAGAGCTGTCAAACCTTTTTTGAGGGAGGAGAGTGTTAAACCAAAAAATCTACCCACGTATGTTCAGTGGCTGATATGCACACTAACAATAAAAACATGAAAGACAAAATTGTACTGCACATAAAGTCAATTAACTGACTAAAGGATATAAAATGGGGGGAATCAGAATTCATTCCATTGTTTTCTTATAAGATTGAAGCTACAGGTATTATTATAAGTATTCCACCCACACTGCGACGACATCAAATGAAAGCAATGTTTTCCAATTTCCAAGCTCTTGCATCTGTTTCTAAACCAAAAAATCTCCAAGACTATCGTGACTTGAGCTCTAAAGGGGATTGAAAATGCCTCTCGAAGTACATGTCCTTGAACGATGTGTTTTATAGCAGTGACTGTGACTTTGAGATTTAACTGCTTAATTGAAAAAAGACCCACAAAATATGAGCTCAAAGGGTTAAGTATTGAAGTTCACTTTCTTTAGACATTATTTGCATGACGCAGAAACAAAAAATATCATGACATTTCTAGCTGTAAAAAATAATTTCCTTCATTGAGCAACAACATGTTAGAATAAGGAGGAAAACCATCAAATGTCTTTAACAGCATATTTGATGTATTGGTAAATATTTCACTTTGAATAAAAAGAAAAGGTTCTAATCGCAAGCACAGTTCAGTTGACAGTTAGCCGGGATTCAATCTCTTTGCAGTTGTACCAAAAAAATAAAATGAAACCTCGGGATACAGAACACTTTGAAGATGGAAACGTCTGGTGTCCAACAATATTTATCACAAAACACCATGATACACCAAGAGGTAAAGGTTTTCTATGGAAGATGCAATGAATCCTAGTCTAAACAAACATGCTCACTAAGAGGAAAAGGTAATCTACCAAACAACATTAAAGTCCAAACACACATGCTTTGTCATATACAAGGAAATCACATGCAATTAATTCAGCTTCTCTTTGTAAAATAATTAATATGTAAATCAAACCGTGCATTTGTGTTCCCTACTACTTGAAAAACCAAATTATCAAGCAGTAGACACTAGTCAGAAAAAAATGTATACCCAAAGAGTGACATTCTTTTACAGTCAACTAACTATATCGACATGCGGTTCTGTTCTTCCAGGAATTTAGAGATATTTAAATGGGATTCTAAACACAGAATTGACGAAATAATACGTGCACATGACCAAGACATTCAACAAGAGTATATCTAAATGTACATTACAAGAAAACAACAGAGTAACTTTATACCTTAGCAATATCAACTAGTGTGTTTTGATTTTCGGCCAATTTCCTTTGCCCCATTTTTACTTTGCGCAAACTGTAAGAAAAAAATTAAGGTTGGTTAGTGACGGCACCCCATTTTACCTGCGACATGTCGTCAATAGAAAATTTCTCATCATCCACTTTGTCTTGGCTCGACTTAATGTCACGAATGCTGAAAAAAGTATACAGGATTAGATGCATGTTCATGAAGCTCTAAACACTAATAAGAAGTGGTATTTGGACTTGGGGAAAATATATCATATAAATGTGTGCATTTTATGACTAGTTAGTTAATTTTCTTAACTTGCCTTATTTCTGCAGGAAAAAAATTCAAAGACAACAGACTATTCATGAGCTGTTGTTTACTTACATAGGGAAAATAAATGGGGAAAATGAATTGATTTACTTATTCTTGATTTTATATAATGCTAATATAATGCTGAAAATATTTCGATATACTAGTCTAGTATTACAAATTGTGTAATTAACTGTTAATAACCATTTTTTCTATCTTACTTCTAAGGGCAGATCATTCAAACTGCATAAATCTACCCTATAAATATATACAGCTGTAGATAGAAATTTTTGACGTACAGTGTTCAGAGCTTCCTTAAAAATGTAAATTCATTAGTCATGGTACTTTGATTGCCAAAAAAGGGTAAGCAGTGGGCCTCAAAGTATAAAAGTTTAAAGGTTAATAAAAATCTAAAAGGTACATTCATACCTTTAGAAATTGTTTCTTATATAAATCTGTACATAAAGGGGGGTCTTTTCCAATATTTTACTGAGCGGTCCAAAACCACATGTTATACGCTCGTAGAAATGTTGGACCGTTTGGTAAGATATCTGGACCTTTATGACGTTTTCTATGTCACTATACAATATTTCTGGACGTAATCGGGATCTGGGATCTATTTACAAACATGTATTATTTGTTTGTGCTTGACAGTTGTGGAATTGACAGAGTTAACCCGCAATGCAGGTGAATGAAATTAACGTCAAAATTTCTAATTTCATATACGAATCATAAAACTGGGTTGACTTTCGAAAGTAATTAGAGCCAAATAACTTTAAAACTCAGCAACATGAATAATTTAAAATGAACAGCAGTTCCCTTGCGTCTGTTTCTATACGCACTATTTGAAATGATTTTTTTTTTCAAACTCTGTTGACATTTTGTCGATTTATTTTATCGCATATTAATTTGCATACAATTCATACACCCCCATAAAGGAAATGCAACTGAATTAGAAAATGAGAACACTGATTATTTATTAACAAGACACCTTTGGGAATCCATGTAGGGCATTTAAATAACTTGTAAACAATTGAGTCATTTCACAACTAAAAGATAATAAAGGCAATCGTACTCCAACGATTCATGGTTTATTTTATTGTATCATAAAGTTTTATTGTAAGAAATTTCTAATATAAAAATTATTGTAAAAGGTCAAATTTCAATTATTAAATTCACAAAAATATATTGAATATAACCTTTTTAATTATAGTTTCCTCTTTACGAATACTAGAAACTAAAATTAATGAAAGTTGACTTTCTGTTTGAAATGAACATGCTACAACAAAAATTTAATATGAATTATATTTGATATCTAATCAATCAAATGTATCAACTGATAGATATTTCATTAATTATCTCCCATTTACTGATTACCCATTTTAATGCTCCTTTTAATCATACCTGTGGATTGCCTGTAGGAATTTTCTCTGATGGGCTCTGACTTTGCCTGCGTCTATTTTGTTGACGAGTTTTGTATATTTGTAAATTAACCAAGTCTCTCGTAAAACATTAGCTGCCGCATTCTTCAACTAAAATAGAGCGCAGAATTTAGTCATTTAAAAGCAATGACACAAAAAAAAAATCAGATAATGCCAATTCTTAAACTTGTAAGTACAGCATCCGTAATTCCTTTAGTTTACTGGTTTTTTGTTCTTTTTTGTATAAGAATAAAAATTTATATAAGGATATTTTTTGTTTAAGAAAATATTACTCAATGGCACAATGCTTACTGTCCTTTTTTATATGTAATTTATCAATTATGAGATAAAACATGCAACTTGAGTTATATTGCAAGATTATTTAAGAAATAAAATAGATAAAAAAAGGGCATTAGTCTGTACGTGCTCTACTTTATTTAATTAGATTTTGCATTCCACTTTTGGGAGGACAGAGTTCAATGGTTTAACCCAGAGGAAATTTCAATGCACAATATTCTAGCCACAAATGTGTAAGCATCATGAATATTGATTTAAACGTATTTTATTAAAACATTATCAATGGAATTGGACACAAGTTTTTCAAACTTATTTTGTTGAAGAATATTACAATAGCATGCACCAAAAAATAAATGAAGGTACTTATAATGTAACATTTGAATTGATGAGGATAATTGCCTTGTCTTTGCTGGAAGAAAATGTCCTTACACTCCCAAAATGCAAGTAACCAAAATATCAATGTCTAATTCTTGATCTTTTTTTGTTGGTCTCCAAGACATTAAACCAAAGGTTTCCTGTGTTTTAGTATTCTAACTACACTATGTACATATGTGGCATTGCTCAAATGAATCCACGTAAAAAACAGCATGTTTGAGTGTGTTCAGTTATAGGGATATTCAGACACTATTTACAACCATTACGGTTACGACAGATAACCGGATTATCGTCCCCCTAAGGTAACTTACTCGTTTTGACAGTTGGGTATCCATCATAAAGAAATGCACGTGTTTCTCTGCTCGACTAAGCTCTAATTTTTTGGACAAAACAGCAACGATCAAAGCAGTAATACCAGCACCCTAGAAAATAGAGAAAGCAATGCTGATTTTGAAGTACTTTATTGTAAATCACACTATAGAGAATAAATTATGAGTTTCTACAAGACTTCTTCTAATTAAATTCATTTCTTTTGAACGTAGAATTGATTTCTGGTCGACCATCTACATTAAAGTATATTCTAGAAGCTGATGTCTTACGCAAAATTGGTTTTATTTTTTAAAAAGAAGTCGACGCAGAAAACGTCAACAATAGTCATTGAATCTGTTCCGAATATTTTTATCTATTTCTATGGCAACAAAAGAATAATTTCTTAACAACACACCACAAGGTATTAACGCAAAATGATATGTAACAAACATTCGTGATCAGCATCGATTTTGAAGAAACATTTTTTTTAGTTTAAAGAAGGCCAGGGATTGGCTTTAGCGTAATCGGTAACACATAAGCCATCACTGACACCATCTGTACGAAAATTGATAAAGCTTTCTGTGGTAATGAATGCATTCCGTCTTATACCGAATTTACGAATCTTAAATATTAAAAAGCCAGTGACGTCATATTGATGGTTATATAAACGGGTTGACATACTTTGGCATTATATTAAAGATCAACATTAACGGGTTGACATACTTTGGCTTTATATTAAAGATGAATGGTTTGCCACTTACCATGCAGCCTACCGCTATGGAGATGGTTCTACCACAATAAGTGTTAGGGACGATATCACCATACCCGACCGACAAAAACGTGATAGATATCATCCACATGGCATTCAGAATGTTCTCGTGTCTGTGATCAAAATACCTGTAAAAATAATAATAAATAAATACCGTAAGATTGCATAATGAATGCAGTATTAATTTTGCAACTTTAAATAGTGCTATCCTATTTGCAAGCCAACTTTAAACAGTGCTATTTTATTTGCCACTTAAAAGTGGTAAGAAAAAATTAAGTAAAATTTAACGAAATCAAGCAACATTTATTAAGGTAAAGGGCTCATGGTATTTTCTCTTCCATTTTCAAAGGAAAACTAACATATGGGCTTTCGTATTGCGAGACACACTTCCTACAATAATATATCGACCCGACGTCGGAGCTAGGTTATCAAATATCATCTCAAAATGAGCTTAAAGCTTCTCTTTTAACTTTTATCGATCTAGCTGCAGTGATTTGTCACATACTGTAAGATACGTTGAGTTTAAGTTGACTAATTGATATAAATCTGCAATCTTAAGTGATTGGATCGATGGGGCCTCTGAATCAGCAAAATAGCACTTGACAACAATCATAATTTAGCAACCATTTCCAGTTCTGTGTCAATGATGTCGTCTTTGAAGATGATACCAATGTGTTTCTGAGAACGAAAAAGGTAATCCCTATATCGACTCAGTAATATATATGGGTATTTTGGTTCTGTTGAGGATCGTTAACATATGCTTCAGGCAGTTTTTACTGAATGGGTTAAATGGTCGAGATACCGAACACGAGAGATTAGCTTTTCCATCGGATGATATCTCATTGTTCCTGTGGGAAAATTTCAATTTATACCGGATTCATCTCCTGACGTATTCAATCAGCAATCACTAATGAAATCTGCGCTATAGTCGGATATACATGTACTCTTACGGAATGCAAGGCTCTTTCAAGTCAACGCCCCAACATTTAACATAAACATTGAGCACTTAGTACAGAAATAAGTTCTCAGTGCAAGTTTCATCAAGCATTATATATATCGCCTTTCATTAGAAAACCTGTATTGACATTGCCCTGCAAGACTGGGATCAAAGAGACTACTGTTAAGGTGTTTCCGTCTTTTTGGCTATTTTTATTCATTTGTATATTTACGTAATTCTGAATGTCAATTTCTATGGATAGATTAAGGTGATATAACCATATAAGGTTATTTAATCCAGTAATCAATTACTAAGAGCACACTCAATAGACAATAATAAATAATCAAAGTTCTCGAATACTAGTACCAGTATGCGGTTTTTGTCTGTTACACTTAGGTTTTTACTAACTCTTTAGAGGCAGCCAAGCATATATTTGTCTCATATACATGTAGGGCTGCTTATTTCGTGCTGACATATGTCTGTAAAAGGGTCTTCCAGAAATTTTTACTCATATTAAGATGCCACCATTTTGCAGTTGGGGGCTGCAAATTTAGACATGTACTAGACACTTAGGTCCTTTGAGAAGTGAGGGATCTTTTTCGTGCCAGCACCTACTGCGACCAGTCTCTTCATCCTTGCGTCGCAGTGGGGTTCGTACCCGCGACGCAAGGATTCCCATATTTAATTTTAAAGTTCATAGGTGATTGCTACGCCATGTCTGCGAATAAAAGATTTGAGCCCAACGTCAGATTTTGTAATCTTTAAGAAACACAGACTATCTGAATTGCGTTGGTGCATGTTGAGATATTTCCTTCGTTGAACTTCATAAATCGAATGCTGCATGCAAAATTGTATAAATCGAAGTAAAATCATTTAGAATTCTTAAGTTGATTTCCAAGTTGATTCATTTATTTAAAAAATATTTTATATTTACTTTTCAATATTTTTCAAATAATTTTTTTTTAATTTTTGGCCTGGAATTGTTTGTTCTTCGTCCAAAGTTTCTGCATAAAGTAGTTGAATAGTTAATATTGCCTTTCAATGCAACAAATTATCAAAAAATAATTTATACATCTTAATTAGAGACTGTCCTACCATTGAATATATTTAATTTAATAAACTAATTATCATGAAATTGCCCAAAAGAAGTTATTTTATCATCCTTATATTATTGAATCTTCTCATTGGTAAAATGATTTTGCTTTGCAGAAGTCAATAATCCTTTTTTTACCTGGCTCCAAGTTTGTAATATACATTGATTTAAGTGTTGATTTTAGAAACTAAGAGTTGTTTGTAAAGAAAAATGACGTCTTCTGATGTGAGACCTGCTAAAGTAAGAAGAGTTGTGAGTCTTTAATCTCTTCTTTTTTGGTGTGTATAGGTAAACAAATTTAAATTAATTTAAGTTGACGAGACCTAGTACTTGCAAATATTTGACACATTGATATCCTTATTTGTTTCTAAAGGTAAATTTATAAAAGTTGTTTGTTCATTAAATAGTGCAGTGTATTGATACCTAGGAGGAGGGCTGCATTTATATCATGAACTTTTTTTATGCTTAAAGGCTTTAAAAATAGATTCATGGTCACTGCGCTCATTTGAATTACACCATTTTACTGACGACTGATTCATGAAGCAGTTCACTCTCATCAAATGAAAGAAATTTGATTAAATAAAAATATTAAAAATCGCTACATTTCTAGGAGCACCTTCCATACATAACACAAAACCTTTATACGTGATATACCCCAAACTTAGGTCAACAAAATAATATCAACATTGTTAAAGCCGCACCTAAATATATCAAAACTCGAAAAGATTTAATGAATAACCAGCGTAACCATTCTGTATCTTTTACATAACACAAAACCTTCTATCCTAATTGTAATTCCATTCTTATTTCTCGGCATCCTTTCCCTTCTTTTTTGTATTGTATTTTTGTTGCTTGTACATTATGCGTATATAAGTTTGGGTTTTTTTTGTTTGTGTTGGAGAGGACAATCTAAGTAGGATACTCACTCCTACATGGCACCTGATCCAACCTCTGATGTTTTGGAGTTTCGTATTTGCTCTGATCCTATTTTGTTTTATTTATGGATTTCTTATCTTCATTAATGTTCGTTATTTCCATATGTTTCATTGGTGTAACTTGCGTCCAACCGCATTGACTGTGTTCAATAAAATGTTTAAATCAAAACTTCATTAAGCTGTCCCTCTGTGGTCTATATACTATAAATCTCCTAACCACTCTTCCGACAAGAATCTTAAAAATTAAAATGACATATGTTAAAAACGCTGGTGATTTTGTTCCAAATTATTTTTCTTAATTCCCTTCTAGGAAATTGAGTTCTTATTTAGTATATAGATTTTCTCTTTTGTACATTGTAAGATTATATTTATTCTAGAAGAAGATCCTTATTTATGTTTGCCCAAAACAGATATTAGCATTTCCTTCAAGCTCATTAAGAACAGCTAGCAAATTTCAATATCTGAGTTTTTACAGAAGAGAAAGTTGCCGATAAATATATAGTCTTTGTAGCTGGAAACTGTTTCGGGCTAATGAATGTTATTTAATAATCGCTGCTAGCCTGACAGAGTAATTTATGGAATTTTCTACTTTGTTAACCAAAAATAAAATTACGCACGAATTGGAGCAGCTGCTTTTTTTATCTTTCCAAGTGTAAAGACAGCAATACTTTTGTTTAAAAATTTATTAACCATATTACATTAAGTCTGTGAAGTTTGTCAGGAATTTGATGCTTTTTACCAAAAACAAAATCCCTTGATTTATTTTATTCCTGGAAATTGATATATAGATTTCAAGTTCTTCCTTTTCAAATCGGAAAAACGGAGCTTTAAAACATTTTGAAATCAGAGGTGAAAAAAATCTTCATCGACTGGAAATTACTATCGCAATGCCGGGTCTTAAACTGTCAAAACTGAAACGTTCAAAATAATGTTTCATTGCTTTGGATATCTATAACTCCAACATCAATGTTCTATATAAATTTCAATGAACACTGAAAAGTAAGGAAAGGTAATTTGCTGTTATTCTAGAAGGAAAAAAATGTAACGATGATGAAATACTGGATACTGTTACAAAACAGTTTTAGTGGCGCATTAACCCACCCCCTACCCTCTGTGACCACTGAACAAAATCATAAATATACGTAAATTAATCGCACCTCAAATATAGCTAAAATGAGTCGAGCATTATTTAAAAAATTTGCCACTACGACCCTCAGCTGATTCGGTCCCTTTTTCAAGAACTCTGGATCCGCCACTCGGTTTATTAATGGTAACATTTTCATACCTTTTGCTACATGTTGCAGCTATTTTTTTTTAATTTGACCAAAAAGAGTTTTAATATACGTGTTGTCATGATCACCGGCAGATATAATCCAGAAAAACCCACGCATTTAATGTTCATCATCACGCTAATGTTTCTTCTAGATTTGAGTCTGATATTAGTTGCTATGACAACCGTTTTAATTCCTATAACGTTTCTCAAAAGATGGTTATTGCTTTTTTTTCTCCTATACAATGAAAGAACAATACGTAAAATCAAACCCCGCCGGTATCAACGTGACATAATAAAAGTTAATTTTCAACATTTAAAATCATGGATAAGAATAAGCAAATGAAAATTTTGAATCAAATAAACATAAAAATTGCAAGAGAAAACGATTTGTTTGCTTTTCAGAAAAGATGCATTTTCCCGCAAAAACCTTATGTGTTGGATGATAATGTCTTTGTCCGTCTGTTTGTTATCATGTACAGGCCATTACTCTGTAATGGAAAACACATTAAGGGGATAAAAATTATTATGAGCATTGTCGCACTAATGACCTTGACCAGTCATCTGATTTAATTCAAGGTCACTGAGAGAGAGAGAGAGAGAAAAGCTCTAATGGAAAAAGTTTCTTCATACTATCATGCACACAACAGGGATACACAAAATTGTATAATGACCATAGAATGTGTAGATATATATTTTCCGATTTTTAAAATAGCATGGGTACAAAAAAAGTGAATATCCCATCCTGCTTTCAATTTTATATTAAACAGTGGAAAAATTTGCAGATAAAAAAGATGGAGACGAATTGACATTATCAGCGAGGACGTTAGCAGAACCTAATGCTTTAAGTGACCTTTAAAATGTTAAATCCAGCTTTAAAGTAGGGTTACATGTGTTATCTCCCAGGGGTTACTTTTTTCATGAGTTATTTACATATTATATAGGACAATAAGAAAAGTTGGAAGCTTTGCATTTGCACCCACTTTTGGAAAAGGAAGTAAAATCCTTTATTTAAATAACATTTGTTGCAAAAAATTGATTTTTAATTTATTTTTTTTTGACTTTTTTTTACCTTTCACAGGCACGTAGTAACCAGCTAGTGATAATCCACATTGAGAGAGTAAACACCAGCATCACAGTCCCGGGACAAATGTGCATTAAAGTCTTTAACACAAAACGAGTATCAAAATTAATCCTATTCAGCGCACCTATACTTCGCGAGGAAGCGTCTGTAAAAAGTTTACTATGGAGTAACATCACTCTGGCTATGAGGTACAGTCTCATAAACATTGGAATAGAAAGAAGTATATCCACCGGAACGTCCTCTTCTACCACGGACGCTCCGTCGTAGATTTCGGTCTTCCATATGAAAAAGAATTCCCCTGGAATTGGATGAACTGCGCAGACAAGAATTTCAAGGCCCAGTTGAAAACAACGCCTCCAAGAAATGGCGATCCGCCAATCTTCTACACAATTGTCGATGGCAAACAACTGTTTAAGAAAGATAAAGTAGTGTAAGGAGTTTGGGTACATTTATTTCTTCATGCATAGCTTCAATTTAGACGTACTTGTGTTTTCTTATTTCTACTACATGTTTGTGTTTCCTTCTATAAAAGGACACATACATGTATATTAAATACAGAAAGCTGTTATGCAAAACACAATAACTACAGTCGAAGAACATGTAAACTTAATCATTCTTCTATTGAAATTATTATCCTATAAATATGTGTTTTGAGGTAAAATTTCAGTCTGACGAGTTCATTTATTTCATAAATATAAAAAGGCAGGTGCTACTGACATTTGTCCATTAATTTTTCTCTGAAAATGATTAGGCCATTGTTAATAACAGAGACTATTATATTCCTGTTGCTATTACTGGATGATATTACGACCAAGATTGTACAAAGATGTCGATCAAGGGGCACCGACTTCAGGGAAATTACCGTAAAGGGCTGTTCAGTAAATGCTCACTTTATTTCCAATCGATACAACTTTGTTGTAAAAATTGCCTTTTTAAATAAGGCACAAGCCCAGCAATTGGGCTTCCTGACAAATTAAGTGTCAATTCTATATTCAGTCTTTGACCGAGGTATCATAATAAGAAATACGAGTGTCAAGTTAATGTCGAAATTTTAGCATCATTGTATGGTTCCTGATTTGGCAAAATAGAAATAATTGGTGGCATTCGGGGGTTGTTTACATACGTATTTTAGGGCTATTTTCGTTGAAATCTATATATTACAAAATCGAGAAGCTATTAAGTGTATACAATTATAAAGTGTCAAATTTAAAACCATCCAAGTTTTAATCTTTTTCTTTCAATCATGTAAATAAATTCATTCTGCGTTATTATATACAGTTCTATCGGTACCATTTGAAACCGGGAACAGTTCTGTGAATTTCAATAAGGACCAATAATATGTTTCATGATCAATATTATCTGACCAAAGAAATCTCGCTTATCACCTTAACAGCGGAAGTGATCTAATCTAGAACCAACACCACGTGATTACCCTTATGAGTTATTGCATCCTACTAATTTAAAATAAAACAATAATAACGTCCTTCTATTGACAATTTGTAAACATATTTTCCCGGTTTACTTTTATAATTGATTGTATGGTGTTAAAATTGCGTATAAAGAAAAGCAAGGAACTAGAAAGCTAAATGTAAATAAAATAAAATTCAAAATCGAGAAACAATTCATTTACATGTAGGAGTTTATGAAAGGCATGTGAAAAGCATCAAAAATACATAAAACAGCACAAAAACATTATTTTCGCAAAAGAAACACACACAAATAAATACAAGGATAGCGTAAGTCCATACTTTTAAAGTCACGTGATCTACTTACTTTAATCTACCCAAGAAAAATGACATCAACGAAGAGCATTTCCAGAAAGTACAAAAATATCACGCCATCAATGAGCAAATTTTACAAATTCAGTTTTATATTTATTGACATTTGATTTTCTTCTCTTATTTTTTTTTTATCAAATTCAAATATTCCAAACCTTTTCATTTTAACGACACAAAAAGGTATAATTTTGCTTTAACATGTCGTAAAGGATGCTAAATAACAAAAGAAACTGCCAAATTTTCTAAAGCACTGCAAGCGTAATAACATTGTCTGGTTGCAAACAAAATGATTATGAAAAGCTATCAGAAGTATTAGCTAGTAGTTATCATAGACGAAAAGTTTCATAGAGAGTCTTTTCTTAGAATACTTTGAAAAAATGGTTATTGCATTGTCTATCTGTTTGAAAAGACATACAAGTATCTGTAAATTAAAAGACTTCCCATGTAAATATAACATTTTAAACAAAAGATTGATAGGTAGGAAAATAATTTTAATTTATTTCATTTCGAAGTATTTTTTTAAAAAGAATATTCATTAACTGTAAACAGAAATAGTAAAGGTTAAGAGCTAGAAATGTATGCAATTTTTTAAAATTACAGTAGAAAATTAAGTCGGAAATTTACAAGTTGGACGACTCAGATGTATCCTCTACAGATTTGATGCTTTTTTTACAAAACAGTAGACGTATTCTTCAGACCACAAGTTTTACAGACCATTGTCATATATACATGTACATTTACACACAGATTAATATTTAAGTATAATTAATTGTGCGGCCGATTAATAATTACTAGGTTACTAGGTCTGCTTTTCAAAGAAATGTTGTTAAAAAGCAGTAGCTTGTCCAACAATTATTTCGTATAGAAGTCGAAACATAAAGGTTAATACATACCTGGATTTCAACTGCATGGTAAGCGAGTATAAGGCCAATCAGAATAAAAGTGGACAGTGAGATGAGAGATTTCAACACCAGTGAATAGTAAGTATCCTGGAAAAAAGAGAGTATATATATTTATATAGTTTAAACTTTCGTTTTGTTAAAAATTAATACGGTGATCTGACAAATGAATTTTTGTAACTTCCTATTTTTATTACTAGATGAAATCCCGTGCAAGCGCGGGGTGATTTGAAATTTTTGACTTCTAACATAACTATATACTAGTATGATATTCCAAAACCTATCTTTTAGTTTCTAGTGGCATTAAATTATACAGCCTTATAACGTGACAGAATTCTTCAAAATCAGTTAGATTAGGAACAGATACATATATACAATATACATGTAGATAATTATAAGATATACACCCCTCATGTTTTTCCCTTAAAACTGATCCCAACAGTTCGTCATTATATTATAATGACGTTTTATGAAATGATTGAACGCTTGCTTGTTGTCATTTTCATTATCTTATATCCGCCAACCGGGACCAACACCATACTCTCTCTCTCTCTCTCTCTTTTTTTGCTAATTCGACGCTGCTAACCGAAAATGAAAGTTGGCTGTTAATTAAATTTACGATAATTACTATGCGAGTGAAATTTGATCATAGTTTAGCTTATACATAGTTTATTCCTAGAGGAATGAGTAAGAACTCTGTTGCAGACGTTTCGGAGAAATTTTTAATTTATAAGTATAGATATTTGAAACTAAAGAATGTTGTATATCAAGCATTGACCTCAGATCAAAAATCCATCTTAAAATACAACAAGAATACCGAAAGCTTCTGAAAATAATAAGTTTTGCAGTTTCTTTTTAATCAATATGTGTACAGAGTAAGAAACTAGAATATCGTCCGTTTGCACGCAGTCTTCTTATCTTCACATGTACTTGTCTTGATATGTTATGAAACGATTTTAATTTTTTCAAAGACCAATAGATCTTTTTTAAAAAATGCTATAATCTAAAATTTACTGTTTCAAGATTCGTTTCTTTTATATTGATGGTGCTTGTAAAAAGCGTCGATTTTTCGGAAATAGTTGGATCAACACCAATCAGTGTCCGAATCTAGATTTATTAAATTGAGAACTCGGAAACTCTTTGAGGCCTTTTTATTAGATCTAGACGTCGTTTAATCAAATAACATGATAACCATTCTTACTTGAAATATTGCGTGCCTCAAATTGAATGGCATGATTGACACCAGCCATTTAAAGAAGGTTAAAACCAGAAATAAATTTCCTGACCTCGGTACTTTCTGTAATTTGCGTGCATGACAATTTCTTATTTGACCTTAGGAAGATTAATTTTGGCTTCAAAAGTACTGAAGGAAACGAACATGCTTCTTTCTAATATGGTCATTACGTTTACGGATTTCTAATCACAGAATAAAAACAGAAGTAGGACAAGGCACGCAGACGATTCTTTGAAACTTAACTACTTGATGTTGGCAACAAATTGAGCTTCAAAGTATTCTTTTACAACACAAATTAGCGTTCAATTTGTTATTGATTTGCCCCAGTCGTATTTAATAAGACATCAATTTTTAACGCTCGTAAAACGCATAAATAAGACGTTGGGAAAATATGCCAAATTCATAAAACATTTACTGTAGATCACATTTAATTTCGCGTAATACACGAGGCGGTTCTTTCGCAAAGATTTTGTTCTCGCGTTAAACTTTGATAAAAGAGATTTTATGCAACGGAAATCAGGAATTCTGTCTCACATACTACATGGTGACCAGTGGCAACTCATATCTGAGAAACTGAAAACGAGAGCCATTCAAAGGCAGGGTTGATTGACTGACTGTTTAGGAAGTTCTTGCTGTTACATAGGTACAGTCATATATTTTCTAATCGGATTCGCTTCAACTCTTGCACTGCACTGATTTGTTTTGTAACTATCTCTAAACAACAAAAAGATCTCTCCCCTTGAAAAGAAGTAAGTTTCAACAAATTTCAAATGCTAATCAAAGGATGTTTGTAAAAAGACTTATGCCCCCCCCCCTCCCAAATGATTGGAATTTTTCTAAGTCCAAGGGGCATAACTCTATCCACAAACATAACTTTACCTAGATATTCTCATGATAAATCTGTATACCAAATTTCAATTCAATATAAGCAACCTCTGCATAGAAAATGAACGGAAACTGTAAAGAATTGGAATTTTTCTAAGTTCAAGGGGCATACATGTAACTCTGTCCTAAATGACTTGATCGTATACCCAGAACAGAACATGATCTAGATATTTTTATGATAAATCTGTATATTAAACTTCATTTCAAAAAATGTGCAACCTATGCAAAGAAAATGAACGGAAACGGCAAACAATTGGAATTTTTCTAAGTCCAATGGCATAACTCTGTCCAAAATGGCCCGATTGTACTTAAAATAAAACTTGACCTAGATATATTTATGATACATCTGTATACCAAATTTCGTTTCAATATGTGCAATCTCTGCGAAGACAATGAACTGAAACTAATGGTGGACCGACCGACAGACAGCAGCAAAGCAATATGCCCTACCTTCTTCGAAGTGAAGGGGGGCATAAAAATATCCAATATAGATTCATCGTGTCTGATAGATAGGTTAGCTTCAAAGGGCAACTGTTATCTTTATAGCAATGAACATAACCCGTTCACAATCACAATTATATAAAGTGTGGCCAACGGCAAAATTAAGCACATCAGCTGTAGGACACCCATTTGAAAATTAGATTTCAAAAAGATGGCATTTTAGGGGATTTGACAGTGGAATTCTTTAAAAACGTTAACATAGAAACTAATAAAACACATAACTTTAACATAAGCTATTTTCACATGCAAAGGACAGGGTAATAAATTACCGAAATGCAATAAACCTTGGACTAAAATCTTAAAAGCATTAAGATAAAACGAAGCCAACTAAAGTAAAGGTACATGTAGCTGCTTTAAAAATCATTTAATTGTTTTTTTAAATGATATCGCACAAGAACTACAAGAAAACAAAAGAAAAAATGGCAAAGGCTTTAATGAAATTAAATATTTGATCTCAGTCGGACAATGCTTGTACGTGCGTCATATGGCGATGTTCCAATCAAATAAATGCCAATTACAAAATTAATATTGAACTACTGGACAAATATTTCATCAACTCAGCAAAGATTATAAAAGAAAAAAGGAATTTTCCTAGTCAGCGTCCATCCTTTTATGGAAGAACTAAAGTCAGATTTGCCAGGAATTAATAGTCTCAAAAGAATATTTACTAAGACTGAAAATCTATTTGCGACTTCCAACACATTAGCAGCTGTGTCGCGTTCAGACTTCTCTACATATCGTAAAGAGGTTAACATGTGTATTTGAGACTCATGTTTTATTTGTTGTATTTATGTAGAATTCACAATGCCTGGTAAATATTTAAAAGACTTCAGAGTTTCTTTTTAATTTGAAATTACTCATATATTTTACAATTCTGTATTAATCTCGAAAAAAAATTCTATGAAGAATATTTGTTAAAGAATTACATTCTACAAACCTAAAGTATTAAAAGATTATGCTGTATGAATTTTTCTGTGGGTTTAAATTCAAAAAGCAGTTGAAAATAGATTGGATATTTGATCATCTGATCAAACGTATCTATTTATAAATTCTTTCTGTTTCGTTTTTTTTAACTCTTACTTTGTTATGGTATAATTAGATTACGATGATAAATATACTCACATTTTGCTTGGAGGATTGTCGCTATCTTTATTGCAAAGTTTTAGACTATATTGGTCTTTTCTATGTTTGAATAACAACATTAAAGGGGTCGATGATGTTGCATTTTATTTGATATAAAGACTCGGGGTGTTTGATTGTAACTCTTTAAATATATGCCAACAGATGGACATAATTTATATACATACTGTTCTTCAACAGACGGCCTATATCAATATAAAACAATATAACCTAAACACTAAGACAATAATAATAGAACTTTGTGTGTTTTGATGACGGTTATGTTGGATGTTATTCCTATGGTGAGGGAAATAAAGAAGAGGATTTCAGGATGTCGATTTATTTCTTTTTAGACACGATCTCTGTAGATGTCAACAGTGTTCGTTTGTTCTTCTGTTAAATTATAATTTTACTTGATGACATTTGTCTAATGTATGGCATAATTAATGATAACTTGTATACACTTTTCATGCCCAGTCTTCTCAAATTTTAGGTACATGTACAACAATCAAGGCATTTGGTATTTATTTAGATGCATAATCAAAAATGCCTTTCGTCCACACAGATATGTAAAAAAAAAACGTTAATTTATTTATCGAACTCATAACACTGCTGCATTTCTCCGTTGTTTTAAAATAAAACGCCTACCTAAGAAAAGGTTACATTCTGAGCTAACGGTTTCTCAGAGCTTTTTAAAACATATTTTAACCTGTTTATAGTATGAAGTATATATCAACAAAGTTTAATTGATAATCAACTCTGATATAAACCCAGTTGTTTCGGTCGATAGATCTCGTATTAAAACACATTATGCGAGCTATCATAAAAGCGCGATACACAATATGCAAATGTTTAAATTCTATTTCAGAGATTAATTAGAATGTTTTTGCACGACTATTATGAGATTTCCCCGGGGGTGGTTATCCCACAACATTGGTTCGAATCGATCCTGGGTGATAAAGTGCTAAGTCCCATCGTTAGGAATAAAAGATAAAACATGCTGCAATAAGGGCTATTGATTATGAACTTGTTGCCATTTTGGTCAATGTTTAAGTAATTTTTTTTTACATCCATTTATATAAAAGTCGTCGTAATTCATTTATGGGTTTTGGCAGCCGATGAATCGGAATTGGTTATAATGGGAATTTAATGAGTGTCTCGGACAAGTATTGGTGTAGGCAATATGTTGACGAGAAATCATCCGATATAGTCCACTGTGCAGCCTCCTCAATCAAATATTAATCGTCCATAAAAGGTGTAGACTTTAGTCTCTAAAGACCCATTCTATTTTAAGCAAGATTCTGAAGCAGCTGAAAATCGATATACCCGCTCGTCTGTGTCTGTTCGGGCT